TTGGGGTCGTGACATAAACATGGACCTTGATGGGTATGGGACCGGCCTCCGAAAGATCCGGAACATCCGTGAAAGTGGAAAATTCACGAAACTGATCCGAGAGCTCAGTGGTTTTCTTGAAAACGTTAGGAACTGCGATATTAGAATGAATTTTGGATCGTGACATAAACATGGACCCAGATGGCCATCGGACCGTCCTCCGGAAGATCCGAAAATTCCGTAAAAGTGGTCATTGTATGAAACTGACCCTAGAGCTCCACGGTTTTTTCGAAATCATTTGGAACTGTCATATATAAATTAATTTGCGGTCGTGACATAAACATGTACCTAGAAGGGCATTGGACCATCCTCCGCAAGATCTAGAACATCTTTAAAAATGGTCAATCTTTGAAACTGATCCTAGAGTTCTACGGTTTTTTCGAAACCATGTGGTATAAGAAAGAATTCGGGGTCATGACATAAACACGTACCGGAGACGAACCAGCCCAGGGCTGAAAGTCTCCTTAATAAAGATAAAAAACACGGACCTGGATGGCCATAGGACCGTCCTCCGGAAGATACGGAACATCCGTAAAAGTGATCCAGAGGTTTCTTATATCACAGTGTTTAAAAAAGAGCTGCAGAGCTCTAGGATCAGTTTCACAGTATGATAAATTTACGGATGTTCCAGATCTTTTGAAGGACAGTCTCATGGCCATCCGGATCCATGTTTATGTCACGACCCTAAATTCTATCTTAAATCGCAGTTCCAAGAGTTTTCGAAAAAAAAACCACGGTTTTTTCACAGTTTCATCGATGATCCACATGATCAGGATCTTCTGGAGGACGTTCCAATGGCCATCCAGGTTCATTTTTACGGATCTTCCGGAGGACTGTCCCATGGTCATTCGGTTCCATGTTTATGTTAAGACTCCAAATTCATTCTAATATCACAGTTCCACGGTTTTTCGTTCTTGGATCAATTTTATGGCTTGCAATCGGGCTAAGGTCTTGTTGTCCTCTGCTGTCCGAAGAAGTCGTCTCCACTCTACTCGATCCATGGCCAGACTTTGCCAGCCTCGTAGTCTGCGAAGGGTCCGCAGGTCACCTTCTACTTGGTCGATCCATCTTGCGCGCTGCGCGCCTCTTCTTCTTGTTCCTGTTGGGGCGCTTTCGAGAACCATTTTCACTGGGTCGTTGTGCGGCATTCTTACGACATGCCCAGCCTACCGTAGTCGCCCAATTTTTGCAATGTGAACGATGGATGGTTCTCCCAACAGCTGGTGCAATTCTTGGTTCATTCGCTTCCTCCACGTTCCGTCATCCAAGGGCGCGTTTGTCCTCCACGAGCATAGTCACGGTCTCGTGGCAGTAGACGACCACCAGTCTATCTTTTAGATAGTCAACTTCGTGGTGAATTTTATTCGACCGGAGCGTCCTCCGGAGTCCAAAGTAGGCACGATTCCCTGCCATAATGCGTCTTTGAAATTCTCTGCTGGTATCATTTTCGACGGTCACCAGTGAGCCCAAATACACGAACTCATCGACCACCTCGATTTCGTCACCGTCAATCTGAACTCGGGGTGGGAGGCTAACATTGTCTTCCCTAGAACCTCTTCCTTTCATGTATTTTGTGTTTAATGCGTTGATGGCAAGTCCAATCCACCTAGCTTCAGCCTTCAGTCTGATGTACGTTTCCGCCTTCGTCTCAAAGTTCCGTGCCATGATGTCGATGTCATCGGTGAAGCCAAGAAGCTGTCTCGATACTCGTGTCTATCCCAACTCTTCTGATCACACCTTCTAACGCGATGTTGAATAGCAGACACAAAAGTCCATCACCTTGCCGTAACCCCCTTCGAGATTCAAAGGGACTCGAGAGTGTCACTCGATGCATCGTTGCCTTGACCAATCGCGTCAGTTTATCTGGAAATCCGTACTCGTGCATAATCTGCCATAGCTGATCACGATCGATTGTGTCGTATGCGGATTTGAAATCGATGAACAAATGATGTGTAAGCAAGTTGTATTTGTGGCATTTCTGCAGAACCTGCCGAATCGCGAATATGCACCCATGAATTCCTGCTGGTATTGCCCAAGAAATCTCTTGCAAATGGTGACAGGCGGCGGCGTATAATTTGGGAGAGTACCTTGTAAGCGGCGCTCAGCAGTGTGATCACGCGGTAGTTGCAGCAATCCAACCTGTCGCCCTTTTTATAGATTGGGCATACAACACCTTACTTCACTCCTCCGGTAATATCCCCTCCTCCCAAATCTTGACAATTACCCAGTGCAGCGCTCTAGCCAGTGCTTCACCACCGTATTTTAATAGCTCACTTGGTTGTTGATCTACACCAGTTGCTTTGTTGTTCTTCAGTCGACCGATCTCCTCCTTAACTTCTTGAAGATCAGGGGCCAGTAGCCTGTCGTCTCCTGCACGTGCTCCAAGGTCTGTTGCCGTGCCACCTTCGTTTTTTGCTGCATCACTGTTGAGCTGCTCGTCATAGTAATGCTTCACCCTCTCATTTTACGGATGTTGTTGGTCTTCCGGACGACGGTCCCATGGCTATCTGGGTACATGTTTAAGTCACGATCACAAATTCATTCTTATATCACAGTTCCTAATGTTTAGGTTCAGTTTCATTGATTAACCTCTTTTACGGATGTTCTGGACTTACCAGAGGTTGGCACCATGGTGATTTGAGTCCATGTATATGTCATGACCCCAAAATATTACTTATATCGCAGTTCCACATGCTTTCGAAAAAACCGTAGAACTCTAGAATCAGTTTCGAGGGTTGACCATTTTCAAAGATGTTCTAGATCTTGCGGAGGATAGTCCCATGGCCTTCTGGGTACATGTTTATGTCACGACTGCAAATTGATTTATATATGACAGTTCCAAGTGTTTTCGAAAAAAAAAAACCGTGGAGCTCTAGGATCAGTTCCATACATTGTCCACTTTTATGGATTTTTCGGATCTTCCGGAGGACGTTCCGATGGCCATCTGGGTCCATGTTTATGTTACGATCCCAAAATCATTCTAATATCGCAGTTCCTAACGTTTTCAAGAAAACCACGGAGCTCTAGGATCAGTTTCGTGAATTTTCAACTTTCACGAATGTTCCGGATCTTTCGGAGGACGATCCCATGGACAGCCAGGTTCATGTTTATGTCACAAGCCTAAATTCTTTCTATCATCACAGTTCTTAATGTTTTCAAGAAAACCACGGAGCTCTAGGATCAGGATCGTGGATTTACCACTTTTACGGATGTTCCGGATCTTCCGGAGGACGGTACTATGGACATCCAGGTTCATGTTTATGTCACAAGCCCAAATTCTTTCTATCATCACAGTTCCTAATGTTTATAAAAAAAAACGCGGAGCTCTAGGATCAGGATCGTGGATTTACCACTTTCACGGATGTTCCGGATCTTCCGCTGGCGGTCCGATGGCCATCTTGGTCCATGACCCAAGTTCATTTCTATATCACAGATCCTAATGTTGAAAAAAAAAACGCGTAGCTCTAGGATCAGTTTCATGGGTTGATCACTTTTACGGATGTTCCGGATCTTCCGGAGGACGGTCCTATGGACATCCAGGTTCATGTTTATGTTACAAGCCCAAATTATTTCTATCATCACAGTTCCTAATGTTTATAAAAAAACGCGGAGCTCTAGGATCAGGATCGTGGATTTACTACTTTTACGGATGTTCCGGATCTTCCGAAGGACGGTCCCATGGCCATCTGGGTCCATGACCCAAATTCATTCTTATATCACAGATCCTAATGTTAAAAAAACACGGAGCTCTAGGATCAGATTCATGGATTGTCCACTTTTACGGATGTTCCGGAACTTCCGGAGGACGGTCCCATGGTCATCCAGGTACATGTTTATGTCACGACCCCAAATATTTGTTTATATCACAGTTCCTAATGTTTTCAAAAAAACCGCAGAGCTCTAGGATCAGGATCATGGATTGACCATTTTTACGGATGTTCCGGATTTTTCGAGGACCATTCCGTTGTCTCCAGGATCCATATATAGGAACCATGACTGTATTCTGGCTAATTGTGAACATTTGTGCTCATTAATCTAAATTACAGATCTTGCGCCACTTGCAAAACCCTACAAACACACCTTTCAAAAAAACGTGTAACAGCTCTTTTCGCTTTTTAAAAAAGTAGACGACTCTATTTTCAAGTTTTTTGCAATCAAAATCATCTAGGAACCCTAGGAATTCTAAAGGTACCATAATTTTTGAAATTCATTAAGAAATGGCTAAGTTGTGCCATTGCAAACTTGCCGTTACACGTTTTTCGGAGGCTTCGTAGTCGGCGTAAACTTTTTTACCCACCGTATTCGGAGTGTTAAGTCAAATCCCACGTAGTACGATTTCCGTACTACCGACACCGTTTACGCGATTTTCGATTCATATTTTCTGTATTAAATATCCGCATTTTTTTTGGGGGTTAACTGTGATAAAAGTTTAGCCTGTTTAGTTAAAAACAAGTTTTTAAGGAAAACCCGTTGGTTTCATATCGATTGGTAGCTCGGCTGCAAAATGGCAATGGAAAACTCACACTGTTGTACAAAGTACAACGCACGAGTACTCGTGTTACAAAAGTTGGCGCGAGTAACGGAGGGTTAAACGAGAAAAGATTTTACGTGTAGTTAATTTAGTATAACGTTTATTCTGATCAAAAACATCATTAAGGTATGCATCTGATAATTCCTGTGATGATGTTTAACAATGATCAGCCAGCTGAAAAGTACGCTTATAAATCGGAAATAAACAGCCTGTTCGCTGCACCGTGCAGAATCCGCTCCGTGCATCGAATGCAATCTAGAAGATGAAACTACACTTTGGTTGCCGCTGCAGCAATCTATGGTTCGCTCGAGAACATATTTAACCACCTTTGGGAGCACACTCTACAACATCACGCCCCGTGATCATCGATTTGTGAAATGGTAGGTACATACGAGTTGAATGATGGGATCGGTCGGTTCGGTGTACTTACCAAAATGAGTGCAAACAGTGGCAGTGGCGCCAGCTGCGCTCCAACGGTGATGGCGATGACTCCGATGGTTCCGGTGGTTAACATGGCAAACGAGAGGGCGGCCAGCGGTGAGTTCATCACCATCGGGAAGTGCAGTGCCACCAAAATGACACACAGCACCACCGAGGCAGCGGCTAGCATCGTCAGGTCGGCCACAAGCTGTAAATCAACTGGCTTTCAATTTGGTTTTTGCTTTTTTCATCTGACTCTAGCAGGGTGCAGGTTTGCTCAGTAGGTGGGGGAGTAGGAATAAAAGATGTGTGCCGTTTTTCCAGAGCTTCAAGTGAGAAGGAGAGGTGAACCCTGGAAAAACAGTTCATGGGATGGAAAGCCTTCGTGTGCTGTTGCTCAGGCTCGCAAAAATAGGTACCTAGATAGAGGGGACGATAGGATAATTTTATCTTACCGCATTTTGCAACTGGCACAGAATGATTGATATCAGGCAGGAGAGTATCGATATTCCCAGACCGGAGATGAATAACGACTTTCGGAGCCGCTGTCTGTACCGGGTGTACAGATCGTCCAGATGGGAATTTTCTGTGGAAGGAAGACAAACGTACCCAATGAGAAAATGGTAAAGTGCTACTATCAAATGACAAACTTTTGCTTCCATTGCTTCTATTGGAGATTAGATGGATCAGACGTTTTTTTTTGAGTGGGGGAAATGGAATGATTGAATATAAACATCTATCAGACTACGAAAAGTGAAAAATCAATGTTTTTGGAAGTTTGTTTGGCTGGAGAAGATGTCAACTTGATTGCATTTGTCGGGTATAGTATAGTGAAACACAAACTAAAGACTAATGACTCAGGACTTACTGATGTTTAGAGTCTGAATCAATAATGATGTAGAGAAAACGGGTTCAAATTTAATTGTAGCACAATTCTAATTCATTTCGAATTTAAAATCCCGGTTGATGGAAAACAAAATTCAAGATCCAAGTTTGATAATTTTCCGAGACGACGAATTTTCAAAAAGTTGATATTTTATAATATTCAATATTCTGGGATTGGCGAACTTGCTTGCAGGTGTGAACATCAAGGAAAATCTAAAATGGTGATAGTTCCAGAAGCCACTCTAGAAAGTCTAAGTATGAGAAAGTATGAAATGATGAATATAATCTGTCAAAACGAATTGGACAACGATTCGTTATGTTCTTTCCTTGGATTTTCACCACACTTGTAAACCGCGCATCAATACAACCGGACGTGATAAACTGTATACTTAACTTTGGCTTTCAAATTGTCAATTCAAGAGAGTCTATCTATTACAGCCAGAAAATGATCGGTGGTGGTGCACAGATCTACTTATAGAGTAAGGGTATGTATGGAAAAGTTGTAAACCTTGAATTAAGGAACTAGTTTGATTCCGAATGCTTGGAGTTTTGAGAAGTTTTATTTTTTTAAACTAAGATCGAACTTTTGCCCCACCCCAGTTTTCAGTATATTCGTAGCTAGAACGGTGTTTTTGGAAGAGTGTTCAAAGTGAACTTTTGCCTCCACACCCCTATAAGCGTTACGTAACTTACGGATGCCACTAATATCGCTCGCTACAGAAGCGTAAATCCTATTTATACCCAACCTCAATGAATGGTAATTCTTTCAATCGTTTCCAATTTCTCTCAAATTGAAAGGGAAACGTTATCCGGCACGATCAGGATTCCTTTTTTTTTGTGTCACTAAATGGAATAAACAGATGCTCAAATGGGATGCTGAAGTGAAAGGCAGCAATGGGTCAGCCAAACTTTTCCATCACCGATTAAGGTGAATCATTGAAGAGTCCCAAAATGGCCGTCATGATGGCTGATATGCCCTATGATTTCAAATTTCCTAGAGCACAAATCTCGGACTCAGTTGCGATATTGCTCATGAAGTTCTCCCTACACTGAAGCAAACGATGAGTTCCAGTTTCATTGCTGTATGTTTTGTGAGAGCTGATATTTGTGCTCTTGAAATTTCGAGACGATAATGAGATTAATCAGAAATAAGGTTTCCGCAGCGATTCACCTTAAAATGGAAAGACATGTCAATGGATTAGGTCCTAAGTACATTTTCTTCAACGATTTTCTCTTTTGTTAATAACTAACGACTATTGTTGTGTATTAGATGCAAGATAATAGTTTCTTTCATCGAACTGTGTGTTTTAAAATCGCTGGAAGTATTTTAAATGACCCTTGGAGAAAATCTACGAAGAGAATCTGTCAAAGTTGCTTATGACCTAATCCATTGTTCGACTTGATTTCTTGTTGATTTTCTTCCCATGCCTTTCGCCGCATGCCCCAGGAAATACGATACGAAAGGTGAAAATTGCCTCAATAATACGATGAATATGCCAAAGAGAAACGATGCCAAAACGACGAGATACAGAAGGCCAAAAAAAAAAACATCAGGAGAAATGTTTAATCCCACCTGCTATAGGATGCAAACATTCCAGGAGATAGAAGGCTTCATTCGAGCTTCAAGCAAAAATAAATGTTCACTTAACTGACAGCTTGAGATACGCATATCTTCGTATTTTGCTGCGATTTTTTTTTCTGAAGGAAAAGGCTTATTAAAAGAGGAAAATCTGGGAGGGAAGGTTAATATTTTCTTTACCAGTTTTACCTTACCTTAGGCAAATTCTTTATTATGGAATGTAAGCAAATGGATGCTAACCACAGAGAAAGTTTTTTCATTGAGTGACAGGGGTGACGAAGTCAGGGGCGCAGTGAGAGTTACTGTGCCCTTGACAATCTTTTGAAAACCGAAAAAAGGCACTGATGGTTGTGCACCGTTCGAAAAATTCATGTAAATTTCTGCGAGATATAGCGCACATAAAAAAAACGCGAGCTTTGACATTTACGCTTGAGTGAAGGTGGAAGCAACGCATAGAAAAATTAGCAAATACTCAAACCCTTCTTTTGAGGATGTAATCTTTGAAATCAAATTCGTTCGAAGCATTTACCTCTGAGCGGCAGATGACGCGATTGTACCTGTCTCATAGTGTTCGTATGAGAAAATGGAAGCGTTGCCAGTCTTCTTGATTTGTTGTCTTCGCATAAATTTACGCGAAATTTCGAGTAAATTTAAGCGCAATATCGCATAAATTAGCAATATTGTATGCAAGCTTGTAAACGATTTCGCTGTTTATGCTAAGTATAGCTCAAAATTAAACAAATGGAGATTTTACGCGATAGTTAAAATTCAGATTTTTTTTCTGTGTGTGGTTAGCGTGACTACTTTCTCTCTCCAGTGTGTCTGGGTTCAATCCCAGCCAAGGGAGTTGAGATATGCTGAGGCCAGTCTTCACGGTACAACATGCACTCACTTGTTCTCCGCTTGCTATGTTCGAATATGTGCAAACCCATTTGTACACAAGCTTGTACTCAAGTACAATGAACAAGTTTACACCCATTGAAACATTTATGTTTAGCGGACTGGTGATATGAATGATGTACACCTAGTCCAGTCGCTGTTTAACTCAAGATTGATTTGTTTGCCTTTCCAAATTTACATTGCACCTGGAACCATCCGTACTCTCTCGATCGCACCAATCACGATCGAGCCAATAATAATTAATTAACCAACACTAATGCAACAGTTATAGATCGAAAGAGAGTGAGAGTTGTTGGTTGACAAAATAGAGGGTAATGCAAAGTGCACACCAGCTGAGTCATATTTAATATGACACTTTTGTTTGTGTCGAACAGGTTTGGAATAGGTGGTTGACCATTGGCAAGATTGCTGCCGGTCAACACTTTAAAAGATGATTCTTTTGCACGAAAACAACGATCTATGACTGTTACACCTTCCTCCTTTTGAGAGAATGATATATCATTCTAAAATTTGCAATGAATAGTTCCAGACATCTCAACTACATCGAGATACACACTTTATAATGGTTTTGTTTGTTTTCACATTGCTTCAATTTCTGATTTTAAAATGTTGTTTCAGTGGTATAAAAAAATGATTTTATTTTAGTTATCCCCCTTCCTCCTTATGGAGAAAGTAGGCACAATCTAAATTTTGACTACTCTATTTTTGTGTACTCTTTGTTTTTGTTTGGTGTTTTCATCTAAAAGAGAAATGTTTGGATGCTCAATGTTTGTTACTGTAAAAGGTCCTTTATAAACATTATCTTATTTGCTTCTATTTTCTTTCTGTAACATAACTTTATCATTTACTTCTATTTCAATTGGTCGGGATTCATCCTGCTGTTTAAAGTTTCTGTTAATGTTAATTTTTTCAATAAATTGTTTTGCTCGAATGAATGCTGTTTGTAATTTGTGTTTTAATTCTATATAGTATTCTTCTACATTGTAAACTGGTTCTATTGATGAAGCATTTTGAATGTTATTTGGAATGATTTTTTTTCCCGAAGATTAGCTCAAAAGGAGCGTTGTTAGTATCTGTATGCGGGGTAGTATTGTAGCAAAACGCATAGTAAGGCAACCAGTCGTCCCAGTCTGTATGAGATTCGTTGACGGTATAGTCTGGTTATGCCTACATGTCCACCAAATGCGGAGTCATGATTTTCCTGAATTATTTTGATTATCTCGTTTTCATTTTCTACAACGCGCTGAGGTTGATAGAAGACCACTGTTAAGTTTTTGAGAGATTAGTTGCATTTTTGTTTAAAAGCCTGTATGCTTATTAATTGAAAGGTACTACTAGATAGCGCTAGAGCTATTTTTTGTATGTTTAATTTTATGGCACGTTTTTCTATATATTTTATAATGTTTGTGAATTCATTTTCAATCTTTGAGAAATTCAGGGAGAATGACCCTTGAGCCAATTCTTTATTTTTCTTTTTATTCATTATTTTAGCTGTTATAACATTATTAATGGTCTCTGAGCGTTCAATGATTAAGCTCTGATTAGCTATGAGATGATTTGTCTCAGAGGCGGTTGTGTTTGAGGAGTCTCGATTATTATAATTCTTTTGTTCTCTAGTGACAGATCTAGTTTCGACTGCTCTTATACTTATGTCTTTTAACACACCTGAGTCAATGTTTATCCTTGATAATGCATCTGCTCCTACGTTCTCTTTACCTCGTATGTATTGTACCTCAAAGTCGAAGTCTGCGAGATCTAGACGCATTCTTGTAATTTTCGATGACGGTTCTTTCATAGAAAACAGATACACTAGCGGTCTATGATCTGTTTTTACTATGAATTTACGTCTAAGCAGGTAAGGTCGGAAATACGTGATAGCCCAGTGTATGGCAGTCATTTCCTGCTCAATTGTTGCTTTATTTGATTCACCTTTTGTGAATGTTCTGTTTGCATAACAAACGGGGAGTTCAAAATCGTTATGCGTTTGCGATAGTATTGCTCCACAGCCTATTTTTGATGCATCAGTAGTAAGGATACATTGTTTTGTGAAATCCGGGAATTGTAAAATTTGAGGTGATAGTAATTTGTGTTTTATTTTGTTGAAAGCATTATTACATTCTTCGGATCATTAAAATTTTTGGTTTTTTCGCAAAAGGTTGTTCAAGGGAGAAGATAATGTAGAAAAATCTGGTATGAATCGTCTATAATAATTAGCAAATACT